GGAAGGATGAGAGCTGTTTGGCTCACACTGATGTGCTGTTCTGCTGGAGGCTCTTGTGTGCACAGGTAAGGCGCTAACTCAAACTTCACAACTATTTTAACATAAACTCACTCCTTGATTGAAATGGTCTCATTGACCCACCACCTCTATGCAATGCCGTGGGCTGTAAATTAGATATGTTCTGTTGTTATCAGGATTTACAGTAGGGCGGTGGAGATGGGCTTGACTGTTAGTTTGCATGAAGACAGAATCTGGCAGTAAAGCATAACTCCAAACAAGTCAGACATCAGGGAGGAGTGTCGGTTTGTGTGCAAGAGTTGTCATGACATTTGCTTGGTGGATGATCATTCTTTAAGTTTGCTATGTTTCTCAAAAGATGAAAGGCCAACAAAATACCCAAAAAATCATACACTGATCTAATTTCTCTCTATTGACATTTCAGTGACCAAAAACAGTAATGGGTGGCTGAGAAGGCCATGGTCCAATGCTGATGTACACAACGAGATATATTGATCAACATCATTTGGATGACAACATATTAGTATCTTAAAAGTATTGCTTGCATAATACAACATATCTGCTACAGTATTTCACATGATGGGTCTTGAGTTAGTTTAAAGGCCCAGTACAGTAAAAAAAATATATTTTTTTTCCTGTGTTTTGTATCATATTGTTGTACAACAGCTGATGAAACTAACACTGTAAAAGTGTGAAAAAAATGATCAGTGTTATTTTCTGATAGTTGCTAGTTGAAAAATACAATCTACACAGGACCTTCTAATCAGCAGGTTTTGCATGGGTGGAGTTTTGTCTTGCCTGGTTGCATCACCAGGCCATATACAGTGGGGAAAAAAAGTATTTAGTCAGCCACCAATTGTGCAAGTTTTCCCACTTAAAAAGATGAGAGAGGCCTGTAATTTTCATCATAGGTACACGTCAACTATGACAGACAAAATTAGAAAAAAAATCCAGAAAATCACATTGTAGGATTTTTTATGAATTTATTTGCAAATGATGGTGGAAAATAAGTATTTGGTCAATAACAAAAGTTTCTCAATACTTTGTCATATACCCTTTGTTGGCAATGACACAGGTCAAACGATTTCTGTAAGTCTTCACAAGGTTTTCACACACTGTTGCTGTTTTTTTGGCCCATTCCTCCATGCAGATCTCCTCTAGAGCAGTGATGTTTTGGGGCTGTCGCTGGGCAACACGGACTTTCAACTCCCTCCAAAGATTTTCTATGGGGTTGAGATCTGGAGACTGGCTAGGCCACTCCAGGACCTTGAAATGCTTCTTACGAAGCCACTCCTTCGTTGCCCGGGCGGTGTGTTTGGGATCATTGTCATGCTGAAAGACCCAGCCACGTTTCATCTTCAATGCCCTTGCTGATGGAAGGAGGTTTTCACTCAAATTCTCACGATACATGGCCCCATTCATTCTTTCCTTTACATGGATCAGTCGTCCTGGTCCCTTTGCAGAAAAACAGCCCCAAAGCATGATGTTTCCACCCCCATGCTTCACAGTAGGTATGGTGTTCTTTGGATGCAACTCAGCATTCTTTGAGTTTTGACCAAAAAGTTATATTTTGGTTTCATCTGACCATATGACATTCTCCCAATCCTCTTCTGGATCATCCAAATGCACTCTAGCAAACTTCAGACGGGCCTGGACATGTACTGGCTTAAGAAGGGGGACACGTCTGGCACTGCAGGATTTGAGTCCCTGGCGGCGTAGTGTGTTACTGATGGTAGGCTTTGTTACTTTGGTCCCAGCTCTCTGTAGGTCATTCACTAGGTCCCCACGTGTGGTTCTGGGATTTTTGCTCACCGTTCTTGTGATCATTTTGACCCCACGGGGTAAGATGTTGCGTGGAGCCCCAGATCGAGGGAGATTATCAGTGGTCTTGTATGTCTTCCATTTCCTAATAATTGCTCCCACTGTTGATTTCTTCAAACCAAGCTGCTTACCTATTGCAGATTCAGTCTTCCCAGCCTGGTGCAGGTCTACAATTTTGTTTCTGGTGTCCTTTGACAGCTCTTTGGTCTTGGCCATAGTGGAGTTTGGAGTGTGACTGTTTGAGGTTGTGGACAGGTGTCTTTTATACTGATAACAAGTTCAAACAGGTGCCATTAATACAGGTAACGAGTGGAGGACAGATGAGCCTCTTAAAGAAGAAGTTACAGGTCTGTGAGAGCCAGAAATCTTGCTTGTTTGTAGGTGACCAAATACTTATTTTCCACCATCATTTGCAAATAAATTCATTAAAAATCCTACAATGTGATTTTCTGGATTTTTTTTTCTCAATTTGTCTGTCATAGTTGACGTGTACCTATGATGAAAATTACAGGCCTCTCTCATCTTTTTAAGTGGGAGAACTTGCACAATTGGTGGCTGACTAAATACTTTTTTTCCCCACTGTAAGTTTTAATTGACCAATAACAAAGAGAGTTCCAAACCTCTCTGCCAATAACAGCTATTTTTCAGTTTTCCCCTCCCCACTCAGACCACTCCTAGCCAATGTTCCCTCTAAACTGAGACTGCCGCGCAGCTCTGCCGGGACTGCCGCGCAGAAATATCAGCCCACATAGAGAAGCACGAGATTGAATTTCACTCAACTTTCTAGAGCAGTGGTCACCAACCGCTCGATCACGATCCACTGGTGATCTCCAAGGCATTCCTTGTCGATCGCCAAACATTTCTGTAAAAAACCCAACAATAAAGCATTGTGTTCCTATTTATTTTTATTCGTCTCGGGCTGTTGGCGGTAGGTGCACCCGATTCAGCTACCCTGCGCACCGGGTAGGCGAATTGTTGCTTTTTGAACCATTTCATGTGTCTGAAGGTATAAACTCTGCTTTCAACTGCGGGCCCAGAGAGCAAATCAAGTGCACTATAGGACTACCGCTGGCCAATTGTATGGCTCAGACGACGGTGTCTGCAGTAACGTACCAGGCATAAAAGAAAGCTACAGCAAAGTTGATACTGTGAGATTTCAAAACGTTTAAAACCATGACTAGAGAGATTGTCAACGAATACAGCAAAGTTCTTACTCAGCACTGTCAACACTTTTATAAGCCATAAAATGCGTGTTCTTTCTACTTCCACTGAGCGCTACAACACGCACTGCAGCAGTAATGAATGAGGAGGAAAGTGTATCAATAGGCTTGCGTTGTTATTATCAGCAGCTTGTGTCTTTTTTAATATCGAGGAATATTTCACTTTCTCTGTTCATAGGAGTAACAACATGAATTTGTGCATGAGGCAGAAATAATGCGGTGTGACTCAAGTTTTTTGCCATTAGCTGGAAGACGGTGTCCCTTTTTGGTCAGTGTCGGTGGAGGAAAGGAAGAGCGGAGGGATAGTGAGAGGCGGACCATCAGTCTGCTGCCCTCTCCCTCTGCTGAGACTGACCATCAGATGCAGGCACCATCAGCCCAGTAAAATAAAAATAAAAAGCAAATTATTTAAATGTCTGATCACTCAGCTGTGCTTCACAAGTAATACAACAATGGATCTATTACCGGTGTGATCATATAGCCTACCTCAAATTTTGAAATATAATTTTTAAAAATGGCCCGAACATCAATGCATTGGCAGGGCAATTTAAGCAAAGCCAATATGTGGTGATAATGTATTGGGCCTATAGCCTACTGAACAAACCTCACTGCTACAGTACTGTTTTTAATTGGTTAATGTTGCACAGGCTTATGTTTTTTAAGTCATGTTAAAAAAATCTGAGCGGTAGATCTCGGCTTCCGTTTTGACTCAAGGTGATCTTGACTCAGAAAAGGTTGGTGACCACTGTTCTAGAGTTTTCCCTGTTAACACTATCAACGTTTCGCTTTACTGTGGCAATTGTGATCGAATCAACGCAATATTATCCACTTTCAATGCAACATACTGAAACAAAACAAACTATGCAAGAGATTTTGTTGTATGCAGAACGCATCAGAGTAGGATTCTATTGCACCAGTGGCGGCTGCTGAGGGGAGGACGGCTCATAATAACGGCTGGAACGGAGCAAATGGAATGGCATCAAACACGTGGAAACCATGTTTTTGATGTATTTGATACCATTCCACCTGTTCCGCTCCAGCCATTACCACGAGCACATCCTCCCCAATTAAGGTGCCACCAACCTCCTGTGATTGACACACACTAATGAGCCCATACTCTACACAAGCCAGTGCGGCATAAACAATCAGAGCTGCAAATAGCCATTGTCATATATGGATCTGTGCCATTTACCTTGAAGTGAACTTTTGTTTTTCACCATGAGTGGTCGTGAGTAGATGTGCTAGTTTTTAGATCAAAGCGAGAGCTGCATGTAGCCACATGAGCACATTTAGTTCATATTCTTTGCTAGTTAGTGAGTTATTAGCCCAGTTATAGATCATATGTAGTCAGCAATAGGGGAGTGATTGCTCCCTACAAGAGCACAAAACATGTACATTTCTAGACATCTTTGAAAAGCAAGTCAGGTAAAGAGCTTTTTTTTTGTCTTAAAGGGGCAGTGTTGTATTTTGAGACAGGCTTGAATAAGCTAAGTAGCCAATAGGCAGAAGGTAGCATAACTTGTCTGATTCTCTGTAATAATGGTATGGGAATAATAATGCATTTTATTTTGTAAAGTGTTTTCTTGCATCAAACAACACAACAACATTTTCAGTCACCTCCGTGTCTGAAGGACAAGTGGATAAACAGATTTTATATTGAGATAAAAACAGCTGCAATGGGCCTTTAAGTCATTCCAGTGGCCTAATACATTGGGTTTAGCTGCTATGTTTTATACATATGCTGTCTCATACAGTGAATGTTGACCTTGGAACTCTATTTTGAAAGGCATCCTAGAGTCCAAACACCCAGGTCCTATATAGTGATAAGACCTGGGTGATGATAAGTGTATGTTCCAAGGGGAAGAGTCAGAGTAATAATCCAGTCATAATCCAATAATGGTTTGTAATATAGTCCTCTGTCTGTGTTGTTTTGTCTTAGCCATGGATGGTGTGTTAGAGGGAGCAGCTGTGGTGTGTGTGTGTAAACTGGCCTGCAGTCTTCTCTTCCTGCCCATGGTCACTGCTTCTCTCAGTGCGGTCAGCTTCTGCTGCAGCTGCCTGCTGCTCTTCACAGACCTCGCAGTCACAAGTAAGTGTCCATCTCTAACCCTATTTTTGCTGTGTACATCAGAGCTACAACTACCTGTTACTCCTTGTAATAGGAATTTCCAGTTTAACAAAAAGGACAGCAGACTTTAAGTCAATCAAAAATCAATAGGTCGTTCCATGAATAGAGTACATTTTGCGCCCCTTTGATATTTTAAGTAGAAATTGTGCACCAATATTGAATTTTAAAAGCCTGTTATATTAAATGAAGTGCCCTTTAATATAGACCACATGGAACATTCAATGAATCAGATTTTAAATATGAATAAAGACTTGCTAAAATCAGCATTTTGACATGCCCCTCGTCATGTTTTTCTGACTTCTAGAAAGGTTTTAACCCACTTAACCCCAAAATGTCTCAACGTTTTCACTATCATTGTAAAGCCCTAGTTATGTTATTGCTTTTACAGTCATTTCTAAAGATTATTAAAGTTTTTTGTGGTGGAAAACTGAGCATGTCGAGCATATTTGAACAATTTAAATTTGTTTTGTGAAGCTTGCATCTGTTGCACACACACTTCCATTCCCCCTGTCACAAGGGGATTTATGGCTGTTTTAAGATGAAAACCTCAACCCTGTTACTTAAATGTCACTTTATTGGCATTTAAGTAATCCCAATCTGGTAACAGGGAACAGAAGCACCCTGCGTACACAGCACAGAAGCAGAAAGAATGCCCTTGGAGACAGGCCCTTTGTAGAAAGTCAAAACAAAAGGCAGTGAGTGACCTTGTCAGCTGCTACAGAATCACACAGTGTTCACAGGATGTCATCAGTACAATACAACAGTGAATAATCAGTGTCCTCGGTCCTTGTACATTCAGTCTGGTGTCAATTACTATCAACAGATATGAGAATCATCCATATGATTCAGTATCAAGTCTAGTGGCCATCAACTGGCACCTTGAGTGTCACAAACACTGGAAATCATGTATTACAGAAAGGGCAAATATATTAACATGCTAAACATTGTGTTAATCACTCTAAACTAAATATGAACTTTTGTGATCTTAAATTTCCCCATTACACTCCTATAGTGTCCTGTGTGACTCAGTTGGTAGAGCATGGCACTTGCAACGCAAGGATTGTGGGTTAAATTCCCACGGGGGATCAGTACGAAAAAGTATGAAAATGTATGCACTCACTACTATAAGTTGCTCTGTATAAGAGCGTCTGCTAAATGACTTAAATGTAAAATATCTATAGGCTACTTCAGTGTCCCAATCCTCATGCTGCCAGTCCCATCCTCCGCATTTCTCAATTTGATTGATTGGTCTTTGTTGTCCCCCAGCCTTCCTGGTTGTCCTCTGGTTTGCAGAGCCCTGGCTACCTCCATTTTCCACGTCCACTGATGTCATCGCTCTGCGCTTCCTGCTCTTCCTCAGCTACATCTACTGGGCGGTGCTGCTGATGACCACACCTCTGGTTGTTGTGGAGACCGCCGTGAGGTTGCAGTGGCCCCAGGTCTGTGGTGGTGGAGCAGTGGACGGAGATGTGGACGAACAGAGTAAAAATCCTGCACCTCACGGCGGTGTGACAGTGGAGGTAGAGAACTGGCAGAGCAGGGACACAGACACGCAGAGAGGAGGGAGAGAGGACCAGGACCAGGGAAGGTGTCTGTCCCACATACTTGGCTTCCTCTGCTGTCTGCTGGTGTGGGCTCTCTGTGGCGTCTGTGGGGGTCAGGGCTGGAAACTAGAGGAGCTGTGGGTGGAGGTCTGCCTGGAGAGGACCAGCTCCCTCACTCTGTGCCTCCCCAGCCTCCGCAACACTGTCCTGCTTGCTCTGGATGAGCCCAGCTTGGGCCTGGCCACTGTGGCCTTGGCTCTACTGCTGGTGCTGACGGTGGGCTGGGGCCTGCTCAGACGACACCTGGCACACACAGAGACGGACCAACACACACCCACAACCACACCGACACAAAAGGAGGAACATGACTCTGACATTCAACTGCCTGTTCAAACACTCTCTGCACCATGCAAGGCTGTGAACCCTGCGATGTCAGCGGCGTCATCCCCACGGTTTGTTGACCCAGAGACAACATGGTCCAGATGCTCCGTTCACAGCCCATGTTCTGGGAACAACATGCAGCTGTCACTGGGTCACCATGGAAACTCTGTCCTCTTATCCCTAGAGTTTTTGTCAGCAGACAGACTAGAGGGACACAAAGAGACAAAAGGACTAGGAGACATACCTCTCACTGGTATTGTGGAGGAACACACAGACTCTACCTACAGGAGCCAGCGTGGGCTGGGGCAGTGGGGCTTTTCCTGCCCGGGGGTGAATATAATGACATGGTTAGTGTGTCTGCTCACTGTCTGTGTGTTACCTCTAAACCTCAGTGTGAACATCCTACTTATCAGGCACATAGAGACAATGCTGGAGTGGAGTTTGAAGCTCTTAATGTAGTTGATATAGTAAGTTCAATCAGTAAGGCGGTCTGAATATCATATTGTTTCCTCTCTATGGGCATTGTTGGTAGCTTAAGGCCTGTCATCAAACTATTTTCTCCCAGCAGGAGGGTCTCCATGCCAGTTTCCTCCAACAGGGCTGGCAACCTGCCATCATATCTCCGAAGATCATTCCTCAGAGACGAGACTATCCCCAAAACTATTTTAATACATTTTCATATTCCACTGTCTCTGTTGTTCATTCAGTTAGCCTGTCCTCGATTGAACTGGCCGCACCCAAAGAAGCCAAACAGAGGGGTCTCCCAGTCAATGTAACACCAGCATAAAGTCAGTGTACTGGACAATAAACCTGGATGGTGGTAATGTTAGATACTGAGGTGTGGCTTGGGAATGGCAAAAGGGGGTGCAACTCAATATTATAAACAATGACTGAATATACACTGAGTATACCAAACATTAGGAACACCTTCCTAATATTGAGTTGCACCCCTCCCCTCAAACAGCCTCAATTCACCGGGGTATGGACTCTACAAGGTGTCGAAAGAGTTTCACAGGGATGCTAGCCCATGTTGACTCCAATGCTTCCCACAGTTGTGTCAAGTTGGCTGGATGTCCTTTGGGTGGTGGACCATTCTTGAAACACATGGGAAACTGTTGAGCGTGAAAACCCCAGCAGTGTTGCAGTTCTTGACACACTCAAAACCGGTGCGCCTGGCACCTACTACCATACCCTGTTCAAAGGTACTTAAATATTTTGTCTTGCCCATTCAACCTCTGAATGACACACATACACGATCCATGTATCAATTGTCTCGAGGCTTCAAAACCCTTCTTTAACCGGTCTCCTCTCCTTCATCTACAATGATAGAAGTGGATTTAACAAGTGACATCAATAAGGGATCATAGCCTTCGCCTGGATTCACCTGGTCAGTCTATGTCATGGAAAGAGCAGGGGTTCTTAATGTTTTGTACACTCAGTGTAGCCACAATCACACTCACAAGTACATATACAGTATAGTAGTTACATATTTATGTACAGTACCAGTCAAAAGTTAAGAGAATGCCAAGAGTGTGCAAAGCTGTCATCAAGGCAAAGGGTTGCTACTTTGAAGGATCTCAAATATAAAATATATTTTGATTTGTTTAACACTTTTTTGGTTACTACATGACATAGTTTTTATGTCTTCACTATTATTCTACAATGTAGAAAATAGTAAAAATAAAGAAAAACCCTTGAATGAGTAGGTGTCCAAACTTTTGACTGGTACTGTATATGAATACATAAATATGTAACTATTATACTGTATATGTACTTGTGAGTGAGTGTGTGTGTGGCTCTGACATACTGTGAAGAACAAAGGAGCTGATGAAATGATGAAATGTCTTGGCTGCTACTACTAACACAGGGCAGGTTGACTCAATCAAGAACAGAATATCAATACTGTGTCATAAATTATGTATTCAAATGAATGTCAAATCAAAACACTTATAAGGAATATGAAGTCCACAGACTGAAGTAAGGCATTCCAGGTGGGAAATGCAGCTTTCATTTGACAGTACGCCAACTTCCAAAACATTATGCTAATGTGGAAATGCACAACACTGCTATCAGGGATGTTATTAAAATATACTTAATCTCTGTGTGGTTCATTCTCAATACACTACCTTCTCAAATGTTCCCCTCTAAGGCAGAATCACTCCCACGGAAAACATCTCACACAACCATTACTGCTGTATAAGGACTGAATATGCCCTGCAGGCTCTACATTTATTCCAATAATCGTCTGAATAATTAGCTTATGTTCAGACCGTGCCTTTGTTCAAACCATGAGAGCATGCTGATTACACTCAACAAAATATTATCATTGTAAGCAGAGTTCCATTCGTCATCTTGCTCAAGGTCACTGTGTTTACTTGTATTCATGTACTCCCTGATCTAAACTCTGGGCAAACACTGTATCTGGTCTACTAATAATGTCTAAGGCATGATTTGATTGAGTGAAGGCGCTCTCTCCAGCTCAATCAGAGTCACTACAGTTATTGTACCTGTAAGAGAACAGCCCAACTTTACCATTCACTCACCCTTCCTTTGTAGGGCAGTCTGAAGACAAACAGCACTCACTACACTCCCACCTGAGCCACATGTTACCTACAGTTGAAGTCGGAAGTTTACATACACTTAGGTTGGAGTCATTAAAACTCGTTTTTCAACCACTCCACACATTTCTTGTTAACAAACTATTGTTTTGGCATGTTGGTTTCGGACATTTACTTTGTACATGACACAAGTAATTTTTCCAACAATTGTTTACAGATTATTTCACTTCAGAAGTTTACATACACTAAATTGACTGTGCCTTTAAACAGCTTGGAAAATTCCAGAAAATGATGTCATGGCTGTAGAAGCTTCTGATAGGCTAATTGACATCGTTTGAGTCAATTGGGGGGTGTACCTGTGGATGTATTTCAAGGCCTACCTTCAAACTCAGTGCCTCTTTGCTGGACATCATGGGAAAATCAAAAGAAATCAGCCAAGACCTCAGAAAAATAATTGTAGACCTCCACAGGTCTGGTTAATCCTTGGGAGCAATTTCCAAATGCCTGAAGGTACCATGTTCATCTGTACAAACAATGGTACGCAAGTATAAACACCATGGGACCACGCAGCCGTCATACCGCTCAGGAAACAAAAACAGAACTGTTTGGCCATAATGACCATCGTTATGTTGGATGAAAAAGGGGGAACTTGCAAGCCGAAGAACACCATCCCAACCGTGAAGCACGGGGGTAGCAGCATCATGCTGTGGGGGTGCTTTGCTGCAGGAGGGTCTGGTGCACTTCACAAAATAGATGGCATCATGAGGAAGGAAAATGATGTGGATATATTGAAGCAACATCTCAAGACATCAGTCAGGAAGTTAAAGCTTGGTCGCAAATGGACAATGACCCCAAGCATACTTCCAAAGTTGTGGTAAAATGGCTTAAGGACAACAAAGTCAAGGTATTGGAGTGGCCATCACAAAGCCCTGACCTCAATCCTATAGAAAATGTGTGAGCAGAACTGAAAAAGCGTGTGCGAGCAAGGAGGCCTACAAACCTGACTCAGTTACACCAGCTCTGTCAGGAGGAATGGGCCAAAATTCACCCAATTTATTGTGGGAAGCTTGTGGAAGGCTACCCAAAACGTTTGACCCAAGTTAAACATTTTAAAAGGCAATGCTACACCAAATACTAATTGAGTGCATGTACATTTCTGACCCACTAGGAATGTGATGAAAGAAATAAAAGCTGAAATAAATCATTCTCTCTCCAATTATTCTGACATTTCACATTCTTAAAATAAAGTGGTGATCCCAACTGACCTAAGACAGGGAATTTTTACTAGGATTAAATGTCAGGAATTGTGAAAAACAGAGTTAAATGTATTTGGCTAAGGTGTATGTAAACTTCCGACTTCAACTGTATGTGGTGAGGATTTCATAAAGATCTCCCCATGGCAAAATATCTCTTTCAATTTAATGGACAACTTCTCCTGACATGAAGTTAAATAGTTAGCTTCATTACAGGAGTGTAAGTGAGGGGAGAAATCTGTAATGTAGATGACTGAGATGTCGTCCTGGTGGTCTGACTGACTGACATGAACAAAGGCTCTCTGTTGTTGACTGCTCTGTTGCCAGGTCAACAGTTCCCCTGTAATAATGATGCAACTGGGATCAATCTGCCCTAAATTAGCATTAATAATTGTGCATGAGGCCATCACACTACAAGCAGCTCTGCCATCATAACCTTGCCTCCAACAACAGCATTGATATCAAATATCTGGCTAACCGTTGCTTCTTACTTCCGATGTTCACTTTAAACGGCTTCATAAAAATAGTATGATAACTCAAATCTCTTAATTTTTTTTGAAGGCATTCTTAGATCTCCAGGCATTCTCACTAGATACAGTGGACAGACAGCAGAGACAGTGAGTGAGGGAGAACTCCCGGCAGACAGCACAGTAAGGCTCTCCCGTGCAGTGAGGTTGTATTGTGTTCAGACAGACAGTGTGATCCATCACAGGGTTACTCTCAGATTTGTATTCATCTAGTTGAGAAATGCCTCAGCATGAGAATGAGATGAACAGAGAACAAAGGGAGTACATAGTCTCTGGCTTGCCGTGCCGGGGAGGATTTCACAGAGCTGGCACATCTCAGCTGAAATATGCACCTCGACACAGAATGTATGCTAACAAGCATTGGCAAATCTCTCATACTGATATCTTCTAGCTGCTCTCTAGTTATGAGTTCTGTTAGACATTCTATCTGTGTAAGCATTTCACTTGCATATTGTCAAAGGACTCAACAATGCATTAGAGCTACATTTTAATGTACCAGTATGTGTGCCAGTGTGTTTCTAACGGACAAAGTCAACGAGACGTTGGTTTTACCTGTCTTTAATTGTACATGAAAACATTTCTCATCAACCTCTAGCAGCAGAAGCACACCAGAGTATGTTCGCACAATGATGGGTGCACAGTGGCCATCATCCAGACACAATCCTCATTAAATAATAATATCATCACCATTATTATGATCACCACCACCAGTTAACACCCCACAATCATAATCTCCTGCTTTGTATCCATATCACGGGACAGCAGTCTTGCTTCAAATAGACCCCACTGGGTTCTGAATCATAATGAACATACTCATCAGAATATACCAACAAAGTAGGGAACTTCCCCACTTCTTTAAAGTGGACAACACACACACACACACACACACACACACACACACACACACACACACACACACACACACACACAGGGAAAGGCAGGGATATAGGGGGTACAGATGTGATATTTTATCACTTCACCTCACAGACAAGAGGCCAAAACATACATATACCACCAACATGCGCACACACTAACATACAGACGTAAACACACACTCACTCTCCTGGCTCTCTCCGTGCTGGACTTTGTTAAGGGACAAGAGCTTCTTATTACACAATCTGGAGGACTGGTCTTCAACCAGGGGATCACAATGCACTTGAGGCATATGGGGCAGAGGAGCCAACAGGAACTGAGCCTCAGAATATATATCAGTGTATTCTGTAAGTCGCTCTGGATAAGAGCGTCTGCTAAATGACTAAAATGTAAATGTAAATGTATTCTGTTTACACTGCAACAGTGGCAACAGCCTTACGGAACTAAATGTATATTAAAGAATGCCAACAGTACAGGCCAGGGAAGTATAATAATGTGCTGTAATATCGCTCTCCTTGGCCATTTTTATATCCTTAATGTCGTTAAACTATTTAGACAATGTATTATATAAAAAAAACTACAGAAACACATTGGTGTCCATAGCATTTACTAGTTTCAACATATTTGAAGAAAAAAATGAAACAGACAGAATGACTGATTAAAAACATTCCAGAGCTCATTAATTGCAGCGTCATGCTGCTCGAGTCGTAAGTGGTTTCTGCCCCATTGGCCAAGTGTAAATCAGCAAATGTCAAGATTCATTTATTCAGATTGACCTCTGACACCTACAATGCGATGACGAGACGTCATGGGAGGGAGGAGGCAGGGATATGGAATCAGGAATGTACGAGTGCTAACACTAAGTGAATACATAACCACAGGTACAGGACAGGTTGAGTAGAGCGCTAGCGTGCTGGAGGTGAAGAAACCAACAAAGCATGACACGGTGGGGAAAGGAGGGAGGGGTGAGGACAACAAACACCACTACAGTGACCAGTTGGACCATCACTAGACCACACGGACCATGATACTGCCGTTACAAATGACTATCAGACATGTCCAGCACGTTTTGGACTGACTGACATTGTCACCGATGGAAAAGTGGACGTGTGACCTGAGGGAAAAGAATCAAGAGCTGCGACATCATTTTCATCAGTAAAGGGTACAGGTGCATGGAGGGACATGGAACAGCACTCACTGCCACCCCGACGGGCGTTCACTCACCAGCTCACAACTGCTAACTGTGCCAAAGAAAAAGGACCATAGGGGTGTCAGACACATTCCACAAACACAGCTAAGCCAACTGCACAGAGAAAGAACGGTGACCAGTGTCAAATGTCTGGCTGCTGAGAGAGACAGACAGAGCAGTCATCTGTCAGTCAGTCTGGGGACTTGTAAGGAGAGCAGAGCCATTGGGCCTGTGCAAGGTGGGCCTCAGACAGTAACAGCACACAGAGATCCTCCTACTAAACCATGGTGGGATGACATCATCTATGCAGACAGAGCCTCTCCTTACACCACTGAAGAAGCTAACCAGGGCTCCAGTTGGAGCCACACCGACAGGCAAAAAGAGCAGGACCCACAAACCAGACAAAGAAATTAACATTCCATAGTCTTACACCCTGTTTTTTTCCTCATATTTCTTACAATTTTAAAACTAGTTGTCTTTAGGATCTTAGTTATATCATCATCATCATCATCATCATCGTTGTCCTATCGTCAGGGAGGGTTGAGGTGAGTGATCTGATCTGTCTAATGACCCTGTGTGTAGCTCTTATAGACGCACAGTGTTGATTCTCAGCGGCTGGACATTCTTGCCGTTGGCGTGGCTCTGTCCGGGGCTGAAGTAGGGGCAGAGCTTGGCCGGGAACGTCTTCTCCCTGTAGGTGTACAGCCAGGACATGTCGTCAGCATTGTAGAACACCAGCAGGCCCTTGGGGTAGTCCAGGTACACGCCCACCTTCTCCAGCTTGCTCTTGACGTTGAGGCGGGTCCAGGGCTCGGTGCAGGCGCTGTACTGGTTGCCGTCGTGCATGACGATGCAGTAGAAGCCGCGGCTGGGTTGGATCTGGATGCTGCCCTTGCGGCTGACCGTCTCATTGGCCACACCGATCATCCACTGGGTCTTCTCTGACACCATCACCTCCCAGTAATGCACCCCCGAGCCGAAGCCCTCCGCCCCCAGCACAGACACCTCGACGTCGAAGCGCCGCGGGGAGTCCTGCAGCGGCTGGGGGTGCAGGTTACCATAGGCTACGATGGTGCAGTCATCTGATAGGATGAGTCTCTGGTGGGCTGTGATGGGGTCTAAGGTCAAAGCTGCTGGCACTACGGAGAGAGAGAGAGAAGGGACACATTTAGTATGGAGATACAGGGTTAATGTGGAGACACACCAGAGACAAGCAGACAGGGCTAGCCCAGATAAAGACAGCTACAGGATACAGAGAAGGACATCTTCTTGCAATACTGTTTGCCAAGAGAGAGAAACATATAAATATGTTATGAAGACACTCCCTCTCTCAGACAGACACTAGCTCCAGAACTGCTGTGTCATTCAGTGCACTCCATTTTTCACTATCATCGCTGTACTGAGTTATATGCTGAGGCAGTGAAAAAGACCCGGCATCCCATTTCAGCCAGTCACTGAACTGGAGAGTTGATCTGACGTCAAGTGCATACAAATTGATTTCCAAAATGTTATCTTTAAAAAGTGATACATCAGATGGCTGGGAGAAGACCAATGACATTCTGTCAATGGCACAGTCTCTGTCTGCAGTGGCCACTGTAGGTTGACTGACTGTAGCTTCAGGCTGGTGTTTCTGCTCTAGCAATAATATGAGCTGATGCAGCTGAAGGACCCTATCAGGAACAGAATAAGGGACCGTCATGGTGTTGGGATTGGGATGACTCATGGGTAGCCTAATAATACGCTCTTGTAATACACCCTACATCTACTGTTATCATGAAAAAGTATTTACATAAGCTATGTTTGGGACTGTTGGTTAATACACTGACAATGCTAAAAACTTAAAACCCCCCTGTAATTCTCACAACATCCACAAGATGTCACCATTTCCCCCCAACAGTTCCTCTGGCTGCCACTAGTCTTCATCAACTACAAATGTCCTGTTTCATACATTTATTTTGTCATTTAGATCCAATTATAATACAAAATGGTTTATATACATGTAGGGAAGCCTCAAGATAAATCATCCACTTGTTTAGAGAGAAACATGTTGATAGTTTTTGAGTAAAGTAGCAATATGTTAGGTTAGTATGGTTTTTTTCCTTCTTTTTTTTTTACATTCTTTTTATTTTACCTTTATTTAACTAGGCAAGTCAGTTAAGAACAAATTCTTATTGACAATGACGGCCTACACCGGCCAAACCCGGACGACGCTGGGCCAATTGTAAACCGCCCTATGGGACTCCCAATCACGGCCGGTTGTGATTCAGCCTGGAATCGAACCAGGGGGTCTGTAGTGACGCCTCAAGCACTTTATGGTTGATAATTTGTTTCTAGCTTTAATTTAGGCACTGGCTAGCACAGTTAGCTAACTAGCAACCTCACTAGCAGAAAGTCTGAGGTTAAATAAATGCTAGCCAGCTAATTAGCATAAACCAATGTCTGCTAGCATAGCTAGCTAACCCTCAGTTAGCAGGGTTAGGATTAGGAGTCAGAGTTAGAACAGGGGCCAGGGTTAGATTGGCAGGCATAGACTGGTTTCATGGTTTCATGAAGCAGCACACAGAATTATCCATCCGTATCCTACAAGCAACCTCTGTCACAACATCAACCTCCGCCACAACAGGTCTCCAGTGACCTTACTCCGAATGTTGGTAAGAAAAACAAAATGTCAGCACTCATTTTAGGAAAAATAAAGTAGCATATAGAGTGATTAGAAATAAGTGTTTTTTTGAACGAATACTCATGAGTTGTTGTTTATTTGTTTGCTTTTGTTTAAAGTACCAGTTTTACAACAACAAACATGAGCAGAGGTCATATTGGAGTTGTCCCCCAGGCCAAGGATATAGGAGGCGAGGCCTAGGAAGAGAAAGGCTGAGTCGGCTACAGTCCTGACAAGAGGATCCTGGAGGACAAGGCAAAAAAACTAAGAGAGAAGGAAGAAAGCTGTGACACTGAAGAAAGCTGTGACACTGAAGAATGAAGAAAGCTGTGGCGCCACTGAAAAAGGTTGTTCCAGGTTCCAAAATCATGTTACCCGAGTAGCTGGCTTCTTACCCCATGTTACCCTACATTCAAAGTACCTTGGCCTCCACTGTTTGATGTTGTACTCCGCATCAGTGTCATGCAAAGGTATGGAAATAGAGCTGTGGTGGGAAGCAGTAATTATAGACCTTATAGAGCATGACTCCACAGCTCTATGTTGGCCTGGCATGGCTGGAGGCAGCCAGCTACATGTAGTTCTGTGGGTTAACCGTGGGTTATGGAGGGAGTTTGGTTGATACACTCCACCCCTGGCTGCTCCACCACCTTTTTTGTTTTTTTGTTCAGTCATTATGGAAACATACATAGAGCTGATTTAGAACAGAACAGAGGGGAATTTGCCTTGTTCCTCAGTAGTTATACCTTACAGTATAAACAGGAGGCCTGGCCAGAAGCCAGCAGGCAGGACAATGTCTTCACCACACAATGACATTGCCAGGCAGTGTGTTTCAATCAATCCATTAAAATGTCACTCTCTCTTGCACACATACAAACAAATGCGTTCATCTCCCCCCCCCCTCCTCTCACACACACACGCCAACACACATGCCAATGTTCTAATTGGGAACATAGATGAAAAAAAGGCACTGGGTTTGAGAGAAGAGGTAGACTGTTATTATTCCCCTAAACTATAATCTGCAGAGAAAGAGCGAGATGATGGGATCGAAAGGCTTTGTGCTGTCACCGTGGCAGTCAGTGGTGATGGATCGGAACCAATTGTTCCATTTGGCACGCAGTCAAGGGAGGCCAAGAAACCACCAGCTACAGGAGGCCAAAATGGGTGAATTTATTGAAGGAGTGAAATATTCCTTGGTGCATTATTTTAAATAACCTTCTGTGAGAGTGAGTGATGGCTGTGGGCTTAGGGAGAATATGAGGAGAGGAGAGTTCTTCATCAGCTCTCCTAACAGAGAAGGGCATCTCAACCCTCTAGCCACCATCTTCTCTTCATGCAGTTCCTAAAGCTCACAAACATTCCATCTATTTACATTTTTACATTTTAGTCCTTTAGCAGATGCTCTTATCCAGAGCGACTTACAGTTAGTGAGTGCATACATTTTTCATACTGGCCCCCCGTGGGAATCGAACCCACAACCCTGGCATTGCAAGCGCCATGCTCTACCAACTGAGCTACAGGAGGCTTGCACTGTGTGAGTCTTTTCCAAGGTTACTATTATTTCCTTGTTCCGTACAAGGCATCAATCAAAGCTCAATTTAAACCTCAATCTATGCTACCCTTCCATGGAAGACAATTATTTGTATCATTACGGATTGATGTGTTGAGGTATTTGGGAGTATCTAACAATTCATAAGAGGCTCCTGTTGAAACCCATGCTGTTACACAGTTCAATTATGTGAGGGTTAACGGTAGTAGTAGGTGGAGCATACCTGGTGAAATATCCTGAAATAGAGACTTCCATATTGTGTACTGCAGGGGCCCCATGTACTTGGAGGTCGGGAAATCTTCATATGTTAAATTGGTCTCATGTATCTTTCCTTTTATCCTGTGGGGGAGAAGGACGATCAATGTCATTGTCAGTTATCGATCTTCTTTTACATTCACATCTCTCTTTGCGCTCTCTGTGAGATGTCTCTAGTAATGACTCCCTTTTCTCTGTTTGTTGTTGCTAAACACATTGGTCAGACTGTGGATGCCCCAGGGCATAATCTTCTACAGCAGTGTAGATTGATATGGGCGAGGGAGGACGTCAGCTGTAATGCTATTACAGAGTCAACCCCCACACTCCCACATGTAGCCTTGGGTTCAGGCAGTAAGAGGTGGTTTTCCACTAGGGATGTGCATCTTTCAAGATGATTCGATACGCATCTAGATGCATGGGCTCCGATACGATACAGGAACGATACGTTTTAGTTTGATTCACCTTATCAATCCCTCTAAGATCTTAAATACTTCAACTCTATCCCCCTGAGCCCACTCTTTCCCAGATTTCAAATAATGAGCCCTGTATATCTGGCCTCTTACGCCATCTGTCAGAGTCCTGGGATAAGCCTCATTGCTCAACTCTGCACTTTCACTCATTTTAAATGTTTACATTTTAGTCGTTTAGCAGACGCTCTTATCCAGAGCGACTTACAGTTAGTGAGAGCATACATTATTTTTAAAATTGTTTTTATACTCCAAGCTATCAGTATCACTATCCTGATGATGAGCAGAATGGCTTACATTCATTACATTCAGGGGATGGTCTTATGTTAGGAGGGTAGTATAACATAACCTCAGACAGCGTACTATCTTACAAAAGTTTAGGACTGTGGCTGTTTGGAAGTACAGCTGATCCATGGTCAGTCAGACAGTAAGCAGAGCACCTCTCGGAGGTGAGGGCCACGCCCTCCAGGAAGTCGTGGCGTCCTGTCTCATTGAGGCGCTCCTGCAGGATGCCGATGCCCTCCTTGACGTCGCGCAGCTGCTGGCTGAAGCGCTGGATCTTGTGCTCGATGTCGGAGAGCGTGCGCGCCGTATCCGTCTCCAGCTCCTCCAGCATGGACTTCTGGCGCTCGCGCAGAAACCGCTGCAGACGCTCAAACACCTCGCCGATGGTCGCACGCAGGCCTTTGGCCGACGACTGGAGAGAGAGAGGGGAGGTTATTTATTTAGAATGAAAGTGTGCAGGTTATACTACAACCCTTAAACATCAATAGAAAACTTATGTCTGATCAAGTGCCTCCGTCACTCTGCCTCTGCACTCTTAGTTGGACAAGAGTCAGTAACCCCATGGCTTACTTAAGCAATAAGGCACGAGAAGGGGTGTGGTATATGGCTAATATACCACGGCTGTGGGCTGTTCTTATGTACGACGCAACGCAGAGTGCCTGGATACAGCCCTTAGCCGTTGTATATTGGCCATATACTACAAACCATTGAGGTGCCTTAATGTTATTATAAACTGGTAACCAAGGTAATTAGAATAGTAAACATAATGTTTTGGTCATACCCGTGGTATACAGTCTGATATACCACGGCCTTCAGTCAATCAGCATTCAGGGCTCGAACAACCCAGTTTATTAAAACCTTTATAGCACTTAACTATTATGTAAATGTATATTCATTGACATAAAAACAAAATCTGGCTAACATAGTCAAAGCCAGGGCTTCTAGGGACAATAAATCCCTATCTACTGTTATAGATCACCCGACACTCATTAAATCAATACAAAATGTGCTATCGTAAGAACGGCCTATATAGAGAGCCTTAGGAGTAGAATAGGGCAAAGCTCAGCCTCAGTGGAAGGTTGGGACAGTGGAAGAGGCCCGAGGGCACAGTCAGTCACATTGTGCTGTTTTAATGGTGGTGCTGCTAGTTCGATGGAGAGCATGTTTAAAAAGGCTGATGCTGTGGGGTCAGCTGGGGACAGACAAGCTGTGTGTTGAAGGCAACATTTACAAGGCCAGCGGATAGTCAGTGAAAAGGACGCTATTATGGGAAGAGCAGTACTGTTGATGAGGGGAAAAGAAGCAGAAGCTGAGGAGAGGAGAGAGTGGGGTGAATTGATTTGTAGTCGTGGGAAAATCAAGGAGGGAGCTGGACTTGAAGAAGAAATGAATCATCTCCAAAGCTAACAGCAACAGTAGCAGCAGAGACAGAACAGAGAGAGGAGATCAAAGAGGCTCAGTCCAGTAACAACTGGAGAGGGAGCAGCTTCTCATGCAGGGCTCTGTCTGTCTGTCTGTACAAAGGAAACATTCTCTCTGTCGAACATTCTAAACTCTGTTCTAGTAGTCTCTACTCCTCTCCATCACAGGGGAACACCGGGGAGCAGGGGCAGCAGCATCATAATCTGGGTTTTATTGCTACTGCCTGCCATCAATCAATTTCCATCCAGCAGCATGCTTGTTCTTCCTGTTCCTGTAGGAACCTAGAAGCAGGCAGATATTCTCTCTGTGCTGCTGGGAGCTTTAAGCCTATTAAGATCATTTATCTCCAGTACAGAGCAGGGCAGGAGTGGGATGTGTGTGGGATATGCTCCTCCACCTCGTGACAGTGAGGACAGGACTGATGAGGCCTGCAGCAGTGCAGTAATCAGGTGCCAGTCTGCCCCAGCAGGGTGTTAAAAGCTATGGCAGGGTGGATATTTAAAGCCCATTTTAAGCCTACAGGAAAAGGAGGCTGGGTCTCAGAGCAGCAGCATGTTTATCAGACGAACCCCCATGGCCAGAGAATCAGACACAACGTCTGCTCTTCAGACAGGGAAGGGGGCGCTCCTAAACACATGGGCCCAGGACTGGAACTAAACTAGAGCACCAGAACCAATATAAACCAATTAAGTGACAAACAGCAGTGTTAGGGGACATTTAAGTAATACCAAAACAAGGGTAATGGCAGCCTCACACCCCCCTGCTCAAAGTTTCACTTTCAACACCTTCATGTTGCTGGTGAGAGAGGAGAGAGGGGTAGAGAGGATTATGGGTGTTTGAGGTGGGCAGTCTCCCATTTCAGGATTACATAACATAATTTGTGGGTGCTTTGCTCATATCCTAGAAATCAATTCTTCTTTGGTTTCTGTGTGTGGTCAAGCAGGAACAGCAGGAGAACAACAGAGCATTTCATTGTCATCAACCTAAAGGTATTGGCGAGGCAGAGAGATCGATTTAGTTCCCCTATGACCCTCTTCCAGGCAACGCATGTCTCTTCGGACAGCTGAAGGCGATGGCAGGATGGCAGTGGAAGCAGGCAGGTCTGCCTCTCTGGGCCAGAGCCAGGGTAAAGTAAAGTCCTGCAGACAGGACAGGAAGACGGGAGGGCACTGGCTGGGCCAGGGGACAGCCAGCATGTTAACAGCAGAAAGAACAATGCACTCCCAAATTACAAATACCACTGTCAGGAGAGCCCTCCCTTTGTGAAGCTTAAAGTCGTCAAAAGGGGGACGAGATGAGACAGAAAAGGAGACTAAGGAAAAGCTGTTATATTGACTGGATGCTCTCGCTCCGCTGATTAAAACAAGGTGCATAGATTAAAGAGATGCTTCATAAACCAATTTGCTGTTTGGATTTTCACTGTCAGTTCAGTACAGACTTCAGTGGAGATAGAGATATGATGAGATAAACCACTGGAGCATTACCTTGGTCTCTAATAGGTCAAAAGGCTCTCTAAGTTTCCTTGGTCTAAGTGAATGTGTGTGCTTAGTGTGTTACCTTGGTCTCAGTGAGTAGTGCTTAGTGTGTTACCTTGGTCTCAGTGAGTAGTGCTTAGTGTGTTACCTTGGTCTCAGTGAGTAGTGCTTAGTGTATTACCTTGGTCTCAGTGAGTAGTGCTTAGTGTGTTACCTTGGTCTCAGTGAATAGTGCTTAGTGTGTTACCTTGGTCTCAGTGAGTAGTGCTTAGTGTGTTACCTTGGTCTCAGTGAGTAGTGCTTAGTGTGTTACCTTGGTCTCAGTGAGTAGTGCTTAGTGTGTTACCTTGGTCTCAGTGAGTAGTGCTTACTGTGTTACCTTGGTCTCAGTGAGTAGTGCTTAGTGTGTTACCTTGTCTCAGTGAGTAGTGCTTAGTGTGTTACCTTGGTCTCAGTGAGTAGTGCTTAGTGTGTTACCTTGGTCTCAGTGAGTTGTCTCTGCAGTAGCTGCAGGGCCTCTGTGTGTCCCTTCTCACTGTCCTGCAGAGTGGCCAGCTGCTCCTTCATCTCCCTCTGCAACACAACATATCATACAATATATCAGCGAGGGAGCGCGAAAGAGAGCGCGAGTGAATGAGAGAGCGAACGAAAGAGCGAAAGAGAGCAAGCAAGCGAGGGTGAAAGGGAGAGAAAAATTACTGGGTCTGAGGAACGGACGTCTCCAGAGAGGGTTTCGTCAGAGAGAAAGTGGGACTCTGTGCTGCTGTCACCAACGGGCAGCACAGGGCTATACAGAGGTCCCCCGAGCCCAGTCTAGACAGAGGTCCCCCGAGCCCAGTCTAGACAGAGGTCCCCCGAGCCCAATCTGCTGCACACACACACAGTGACTTCAATTATAAAAGCAACAGAATCCACTTGTCAGACAGAGGCAGAGGCTCATCTGACTGGAAATGCTAAGTGTCAGAAGAGGAGCAGGAGGACTTAAGGTGCAGGGCTTGAGAATGTGTTCAATGTCATGCTGCCAGTGAAGGTCTAGTCCCGTGTAGCTCAGTTGGTAGAGCATGACGCTTGCAAAGCCAGGGTTGTGGGTTCGGTTCCCACGGGGGGCCAGTATGAAAATGTATGCACTCACTAACTGTAAGTCGCTCTGGATAAGAGCGTCTGCTAAAATGACTAAAAATCTTTCAAAATGTAAGGTCATAGCTCTCCTCCAGTACCACTAGTCCAGAGGGATAACAGAAGTCTAAATGGGACTGTCAGTAAAGGACAGACAGGGTCATTACAACAGCAGTCTGTCATTTAGCTGCTGCTGTGGAAAGTACTCAGAGGAATATCAATGCAGTAATGGAACATTTCTTCCTGTTGACTATCTCAAATATCCAAGCCAACAGTCTTCAAATTTAGTTCTCCACTCTTTGGCACAGAAACAGGCCAGGCAGTCATTCACTGTACTTTGGTTTATGATGTGCTGACAGAAGAAGCCCATGTCCTTGGTTATAATATTGGCTACAAAATAGATGTGAAACAGACAAATGTGGGTAGTTTCTTTCTATACAGCTTTGAATGACCCTTTTCAAGGACATGCACTAAGTAAAACAATCTCCCAGTGCTGAGATGGAACGTGGCTTTAAATTGTAATGATACGAAGACTACAGTAGGATCAGCGGGTTCTATTTCTCTCAGGGCCAGTTCCAGCCTACAGTAGGTCAGAGGGCGCTCTCCTCTTACAGGCTAAGGACCAATCCGGAGAGAGGAGCACTGTTTACACGGGCCTCTGCACTGCCAGGGACCTCACTCTGTTGTCTGACTGGTTGTTGTATGCAATAGTAAGCAGATCATTGTATTGGCCTATAGCATCGAAAAATGAAGAATCATCTTGATCCAAGATACTAACAGAGAGAGAGGCAACACTGTCCCATGCTGTTTGAAACTGCAGTCTGTCTGCTTTACGGAGTCAAATCAAGTCAAGCTTTATTTATACAGCACATTTCAGACATGGAATGCAACACAATGTGCTTCACAAGAAGCAAAAAATTAAAAACAATGAAAATAAAACCTGAAATATTTACTACAAAACAAACATAAGAGGATAAAAAAACTAAAGAAGAACAATACAAACTGAATGCACCCTAAGGAAAAGCAAAGCTAAAAAGGTAACCCTGATCATCTCAGCAGGCGGACCAAAGTCTGACGTGACATTTCCCCCAGGATGCCGAGCGGCAGGGAACAGGGTCACGGTTGGTTGGCCGATTATAAACCTAACTAATTTCACACACCCCCCTCCCCCTTTTCCCTCACATTAACAGCTCCAGGCTACATCTTAGAAAATGAGATCACTGCCTCAAAATTCCTAAACACGCACAGGGGCTTTATATTTTTCCCCAAACGTTCCTGCCAGCTGCAGGCCTTAAATACAGCAACTTGCTCAAGAGCTAAAGAGGGTTACTGGCTTCAAACAGGCCGCCTGCGCTGATGAAGACGGGAACGAAACAGGCCGCCTGCGCTGATGAAGACGGGAACAAAACAGGCCGCCTGCGCTGATGAAGACGGGAACGAAACAGGCCGCCTGCGCTGATGAAGACGGGAACGAAACAGGCCGCCTGCGCTGATGAAGACGGGAACGAAACAGGCCGCCTGCGCTGATGAAGACGGGAACGAAACAGGCCACCTGCGCTGATGAAGACGGGAACGAAACAGGCCGCCTGCGCTGATGAAGACGGGGGGAAAAAAGGCTGCTGCCTGCACTGATGAAGACTGGAACACTGGAACTTAAAAAGGAGAACAACTTTCTGAGAGAAGCCTTACTAGACATACAAACTAGATCGATGAGAGAAAATCTAGTACTTACGGGTATCCAGGAAAAAGAGGGAGAGATTACAGAAATAAATAGTGAAGGACTTTTCTTACAGCGCTTCAAATTCCACTCGAGGCTGTTGACAAAATCAAACTCGAACGTGTACACCGTTTCGGACAAAGAGGACAGAGATATGAGCGTCAAATCGTTGCCAAATTTGCTTTTTTTTAAGGATAAAGTAATGGTTAAAAGCCTAGGTAAAAGACTTGCTGGCACGAAAATAGGCATGAATGATCAGTTCCCGAGGGAGATTGCAGAACGGCGCAAAGTTCTGTACCCAATCTTCAAGGAAAATAGATTAAAAGGGAAGCGTGTTGCTCGTTGTCGATAAACTGTATATTGACACCAAATGTTTCGCGACACAAAGACTACTCCATGGCTATTCTGAAAGTGCTAATAGAGGAGTCGAATAATAGAACACCCAATACTAGCCATGGTAGGGATTGTAATAATAAAACACATTTATAGTAGGTATAGTATTTTATATAGGGAAAAGACGGTATTACAAGAAAAAATAACAAGCAAAATAATACATCTTCAAATACAACTAAATTAGAACACAAGTAGTCAATCAACATAGTGGAGATAAAAACATAGCAAACAGAAGACATAGAAGGCACAGTATGTGGGTATGTGTGGATGAATTGTGATGGAAGGTGTGGTGTGCGTTTTTGTGTTTGAATAAGTGTGACGTTAAGTGATTGAGAAAGGAAATGGTTGCATATCCCAGAACCAAAGTGTGTCTGTGAGCAGGGGTTGTGAGAGAGCTTTCAATTTTGTGCAGATGAGGGATATACATTTTAAAATATAGTATACATCTATATATATATATATACACACAGTGGGTAAAAAAAGTATTTAGTCAGCCACCAATTGTGCAAGTTCTCCCACTTAAAAAGATGAGAGAGGCCTGTAATTTTCATCATAGGTACACGTCAACTATGACAGACAAATTTAGAAAACAAAATCCAGAAAATCACATTGTAGGATTTTTTATGAATTTATTTGCAAATTATGGTGGAAAATAAGTATTTGGTCACCTACAAACAAGCAAGATTTCTGTCTCTCACAGACCTGTAACTTCTTCTTTAAGAGGCTCCTCTGTCCTCCACTCGTTACCTGTATTAATGGCACCTGTTTGAACTTGTTATCAGTATAAAAGACACCTGTCCACAACCTCAAACAGTCACACTCCAAACTCCACTATGGCCAAGACCAAAGAGCTGTCAAAGGACACCAGAAACAAAATTGTAGACCTGCAACAGGCTGGGAAGACTGAATCTGCAATAGGTAAGCAGCTTGGTTTGAAGAAATCAACTGTGGGAGCAATTATTAGGAAATGGAAGACATACAAGACCACTGATAATCTCCCTCGATCTGAGGCTCCACGCAAGATCTCACCCCGTGGGGTCAAAATGATCACAAGAACGGTGAGCAAAAATCCCAGAACCACACGGGGGGACCTAGTGAATGACCTGCAGAGAGCTGGGACCAAAGTAACAAAGCCTACCATCAGTAACACACTACGCCACCAGGGACTCAAATCCTGCTGTACCAGACGTGTCCCCCTGCTTAAGCCAGTACATGTCCAGGCCCGTCTGAAGTGTGCTAGAGTGCATTTGGATGATCCAGAAGAGGATTGGGAGAATGTCATATGGTCAGATGAAACCAAAATATAACTTTTTGGTAAAAACTCAACTCGTCGTGTTTGGAGGACAAAGAATGCTGAGTTGCATCCAAAGAACACCATACCTACTGTGAAGCATGGGGGTGGAAACATCATGCTTTGGGGCTGTTTTTCTGCAAAGGGACCAGGACGACTGATCCGTGTAAAGGAAAGAATGAATGGGGCCATGTATCGTGAATTTTTAAGTGAAAACCTCCTTCCATCAGCAAGGGCATTGAAGATGTAGCTCAGTTGTAGATGTAGCTCAGTTGGATGTAGCTCAGTTGGTAGAGCATGGTGTTTGCAACGCCAGGGTTGTGGGTTCGATTCCCACGAGGGGGCCAGTATAAAAAAAAAAAAAAAAAAAAAAAATTAAAAAACATAATGTATGCACTCACTAATTGTAAGTCGCTCTGGATAAGAGCGTCTGCTAAATGACAAAAATGTAAAATGTAATGAAGATGAAACGTGGCTGGGTCTTTCAGCATGACAATGATCCCAAACACACCGCCTGGGCAACGAAGGAGTGGCTTCGTAAGAAGCATTTCAAGGTCCTGGAGTGGCCTAGCCAGTCTCCAGATCTCAACCCCATAGAAAATCTTTGGAGGGAGTTGAAAGTCCGTGTTGCCCAGCGACAGCCCCAAAACATCACTGCTCTAGAGGAGATCTGCATGGAGGAATGGGCCAAAATTGGGCCAGCAACAGTGTGTGAAAACCTTGTGAAGACTTACAGAAAATGTTTGACCTGTGTCATTGCCAACAAAGGGTATATAACAAAGTATTGAGAAACTTTTGTTATTGACCAAATACTTATTTTCCACCATAATTTGCAAATAAATTCATTAAAAATCCTACAATGTGATTTTCTGGATTATTCTTTCTCATTTTGTCTGTCATAGTTGACGTGTACCTATGATGAAAATTACAGGCCTCTCTCATCTTTTTAAGTGGGAGAACTTGCACAATTGGTGGCTGACTAAATACTTTTTTTCCCCACTGTATATATATATATATATATATATATATATTTGTATTGTCCTATCATGATGGAACCATCCCCAACCCTATATCCTAGACACCCACCTGAGCGACCCATACACCAAAGAGAAGTCCCCATCTGTTTTATGGACCTGCTGTGAGTTGACTATATGCAGCCAAAACAGAAAGATGAATGCGGTCAGAGACCTACTTGAGCAGCACCGCCCCCTCAAGATTCTGAGCCTGCCTGGCAGGGTTGGTCCTACAAAGCCAGAGCCCCCTGATGGAAGAGCATAATATACAAGGAAATTCTCAAAGCTGCTAATGAGAACCTTGACGACCTTTTACCTAGCCGGTGGGGATTCCGGTGGGGTACGCCCACCCAGGTAGTGGCAGTGCTGGCAACACTGGCTGCAGTAACCCATGGGGAGGGGGGTCACACTCGGACAATCAGAGAGGGGGCTTATCATTGTGGCCCAGGTGGCACAAAATAATCAAAAGGTCTGACTGCACGGACATGCTTGGGAAAAATGGTTACAACGGGGGACCAGAGTGTTTGTGTCTCAGGTGAAGAGGGTGGATCTGATCTCCATCACCTAGGACTTGACATAGATTAATCAAATCTCATATTGTTGTAAATTTTTGCTCAATCTTGCATGCTTTCTCAAACTGTATATGCATTCGTTTATGCATTCGTTAATCAGGTCCTTTATTGAGTTGGGCTCTGGGATGTAACAACCATTGAGCATCTGATTTTATGGTTGATTGTGGAGGAAAGGGGTTAAGTGTGTTAGAGTATGTGCGTGTGTGTTTATCCCACATCTGTTGCAAGGGGGGTAAGGATGTTAGGGAGAACATAGGATGAACCACAATAATTTTTTGCTAAAATAATAATTGCTTGTCAAAAATGTAATGTAATACAATGGCAATCCGGGTTCTAGGTTAAAATCCTACGCATGAACTGCTGACATTATTACGCATAATAATTGATAATGATGGAAAATAACATGGTATGCCGATCACTGGGATGACAGCCCAACTTGGGACGGGGAGGGGCTTTAGCGGGGGAATTAGTGGAGAACAATTGGAGGGTTACTTAGTAGCAATGCAAATATCATGGTCCAGCTATATGGACACTCAATCACCATGGTATTTTTTTTGGGGTAAATTTACAAACATATAATGATAAATAGTTTTGAAACTTGTATCTCATTATGGTATATGGTGAAATAAGTATAGCCAGTTATAATTGTAATGGCTTAGCAGATAATAACAAAAGAAGAACAATATTTACATGGCTCATAGAGAAGGAATATAGTATCTATTGTTTACAGGAAACTCATTCAACAATTCTAGATGCAGTTGCGTGGAAAAAGTAATGGGGGGGGGGGGGGGGGGGGGTGATGTTAAATCAAAAGGGGTGATGTTAAATAACAGTAATTTCGATCCGAATGTGCAAATTGTCCAAACAGATACAGTGAGGGAAAAAAGTATTTGATCTCCTGCTGATTTTGTACGTTTGCCCACTGACAAAGAAATGATCAGTCTATAATTTTAATGGTAGGTTTATTTGAATAGTGAGAGACAGAATAACAACAACAAAAAAAAACAGAAAAACGCATGTCAAAAATGGTATGAATTGATTTGCATTTTAATGAGGGAAATAAGTATTTGACCGTCTCTCAATCTTTTAAACAGGTAACGAGCTGAGATTAGGAGCACACTCTTAAAGGGAGTGCTTCTAATCTCAGCTTGTTACCTGTATAAAAGACACCTGTCCACAGAAGCAATCAATCAGATTCCAAACTCTCCACCATGGCCAAAGAGCTCTCCAAGGTTGTCAGGAACAAGATTGTAGACCTACACAAGGCTGGAATGGGCTACAAGACCATCGCCAAGCAGCTTGGTGAGAAGGTGTCAACAGTTGGTGCGATTATTCGCAAATGGAAGAAACACAAAAGAACTGTCAATCTCCCTCGGCCTGGGGCTCCACGCAAGATCTCACCTCGTGGAGTTGCAATGATCATGAGAACGGTGAGGAATCAGCCCAGAACTACACGGGAGGAGCTTGTCAATGATCTCAAGGCAGCTGGGACCATAGTCACCAAGAAAACAATTGGTAACACACTACGCTGTGAAGGACTGAAATCCTGCAGCGCCCGCAAGCTCCCCCTGCTCAAGAAAGCACATATACAGGCCCGTCTGAAGTTTGCCAATGAACATCTGAATGATTCAGAGGAGAACTGGGTGAAAGAGTTGTGGTCAGATGAGATGTTATTCTGTCTCTCACTGTTCAAATAAACCTACCATTAAAAGTATAGACTGATCATGTCTTTGTCAGAGGGCAAACGTACAAAATCAGCAGGGGATCAAATACTTTTTTCCCTCACTGTAGAAGCAAACCAGATAGACATCATGAAAATGATCGGAGAGGTTGAAGGTAGAGGAAGTACAGGAGTAAAAACAAACAAAATAGAATTATTGTAAAATTGACTGTGTCCATAAAATGTATATAGTATGTATAAGCTGGAAGTAGAGGCCTAAGCATTGTTGTTCACTAGTTTGTCTCCCGAGTGGCGCAGTGGTCTATGGCACTGCATCGCAGTGCTAGCTGTGCCACTAGAGATCCTGGTTCGAATCCAGGCTCTGTCGTGCCCGGGAGACCCATGGGGCGGTGCACAATTGGCCCAGCGTCGTCCAGGGTAGGGGAGGGAATGGCCGGCAGGGATGTAGCTCAGTTGGTAGAGCATGGTGTTTGCAACGCCAGGGTTGTGGGTTCGATTCCCACGGGGAATTAAAAAAAGAATGTATGCACTCACTAACTGTAAGTCGCTCTGGATATATATATATATATATATATATATATATATATATATATATATATATATATATATATATATATACACACACACACACATTTCCTTTTTAAAAATATATTTCCCTTTATTACTTTCCAACCCCACCACCCCTTCCCTAATTGGAGTAAACATTTACATTTACATATTTTTGTCATATATATATGTATGTATGTATGTATGTATGTATGTATGTATGTATGTATGTATGTATGTATGTATGTATGTATGTATGTATGTATGTATGTATCAAATCAAATTAAGTGGAGAAAATTAGAAAGGGTGCAAATACTTTTTCATAGCACTGTGTATATATATATATATATATTTGCGAGAAAAAAAAAACATATGGGGGATTGGAAGTGATGCAGACAATTACATTGATGGAAGTTACAATCTATCTGCAATATTAAAGCTGATCTACCGCCTAAAAAAAGAAGAAGAAAAATGGTCCTGAGCTACAGGCAGTTAAGATTTCGGTACATAATTTTAGGCGAAAATTGAAAAAAAGGGTCCGATCCTTAAGAGGTTAAACTCTACTGCCCATACACTGCATCTCTGAACTGCTCCCTTGTTCAAACACTAAGCCTTTCAACACTGTGTTCTTTCCATAAAAGGTGTACCCTTTCATTAGCCGATTCAGAAATATGAGTTAGTTTCTGAAAAGGGAAATCTTGTCGGAATCCCTGGTAAGGTTCTAAGCTACCCTCATGTGTTTCTTGTAGTTGGAGGGGGTAGGATAGATGTGCATGCTCTCCTCAGTCTCAGCCCACTCAAGGAAGTGGAGCAGGCTCGGAACAATCATCATTTATATGACTTGACAAGCATCACCGCTTCCTCTCTTTTCCTTTTAACTCTACATACAGTGGGGGAAAAAAGGATTTAGTCAGCCACCAATTGTGATGTTTTGGGGCTGTCGCTGGGCAACACGGACTTTCAACTCCCTCCAAAGATTTTCTATGGGGTTGAGATCTGGAGACTGGCTAGGCCACTCCAGGACCTTGAAATGCTTTTTATGAAGCCACTCCTTCGTTGCCAGGGCGATGTGTTTGGGATCATTGTCATGCTGAAAGACCCAGCCACGTTTCATCTTCAATGCCCTTGCTGATGGAAGGAGGTTTTCACTCAAAATCTCACGATACATGGCCCCATTCATTCTTTCCTTTACACGGATCAGTCGTCCTGGTCCCTTTGCAGAAAAACAGCCCCAAAGCATGATGTTTCCACCCCCATGCTTCACAGTAGGTATGGTGTTCTTTGGATGCAACTCAGCATTCTTTGTCCTCCAAACACGACGAGTTGAGTTTTTACCAAAAAGTTCTATTTTGGTTTCATCTGACCATATGACATTCTCCCAATCCTCTTCTGGATCATCCAAATGCACTCTAGCAAACTTCAGACGGGCCTTGACATGTACTGGCTTAAGCAGGCGGACACGTCTGGCACTGCAGGATTTGAGTCCCTGGCGGCGTAGTGTGTTACTGATGGTAGGCTTTGTTACTTTGGTCCCAGCTCTCTGCAGGTCATTCACTAGGTCCTCCCGTGTGGTTCTGGGATTTTTACTCACCGTTCTTGTGATCATTTTGACCCCACGGGGTGAGATCTTGCGTGGAGCCCCAGATCGAGGGAGATTATCAGTGGTCTTGTATGTCTTCCATTTCCTAATAATTGCTCCCACAGTTGATTTCTTCAAACCAAGCTGCTTACCTATTGCAGATGCAGTCTTCCCAGCCTGGTGCAGGTCTACAATTTTGTTTCTGGTGTCCTTTGACAGCTCTTTGGTCTTGGCCATAGTGGAGTTTGGAGTGTGACTGTTTGAGGTTGTGGACAGGTGTCTTTTATACTGATAACAAGTTCAAACAGGTGCCATTAATACAGGTAACGAGTGGAGGACAGAGGAGCCTCTTAAAGAAGAAGTTACAGGTCTGTGAGAGCCAGAAATCTTGCTTGTTTGTAGGTGACCAAATACTTATTTTCCACCATAATTTGCAAATAAATTCATAAAAAGTCCTACAATGTGATTTTCTTTTCTCAATTTGTCTGTCATAGTTGACGTGTACCTATGATGAAAATTACAGGCCTCTCTCATCTTTTTAAGTGGGAGAACTTGCACAATTGGTGGCTGACTAAATACTTATTTTCCCCACTGTAGCCACAACTTTCAAAGGGTGCTTTCACATATCCCCTTATGATCCGGATCCTGGAATGTTTGGTACCCTGATCCGTGCTATAAAGCATGTGTGAAACACAAACTAACCGTGGCTGAAATGAATCCTGGACCTGCATGAGTTTATGGTCCAAGACACAGGACCAGAGTACCAGGTAACGTGACACGGCAGCGCGAGTCGCGTGGAACTTTTTTTGCCCATTGTAAACAAGCTAACTCGCTAACGACATGTAGAATGTACGTCTTGCTAATCACACCCTGAAAATTGTTATTTCCAGGTCTTGTGAAAGCAAAACGTATTCTGTAGAATTCTCACAAAATGCTCCAGGAAACCGAACTTCATATGTGAAAACACCCAAAGTTTCCAAGGAGCTAGACCCGCTTTGGTGTAATTGGCCAAGGTAGGTAGGTATGTGTGTGTGTTGTTTAGCAAGCCACTTGTGTTGGGCCTCCATTGACTGGTGGTAATCTGGTTAGAGGGCATATAATCCAGTAGCAAGAGCTGGGCAGTCAGGGTCAGGGAGCCTGTCACAGCAGCCACAGAATGACTCCTCAGACACAGTCAGCCAGCCTGGTTCTCTCTCCAATCTGACTGCTAGCAATTGCCAGACCACTCATTGGGCCCTCCATCTTCTATGTATCCTCTGTGAGGATGAGGTCAGAGAGGGAGGAGGAGGAATGCCCAGTCTGTCTGTGTGTGTGATACAGTTGCTATCGCCGTCTGTGCATCTCAGCATGGCCTAGTCAGCATGGCCTGACAGACGGTGCTGGCTGTATGTCTATCAAAGACTGTAGGTTACATTTACATCAACATTTACATTTTAGTCATTTGGCAGACGCTCTTATCCAGAGCGACTTACAGTTAGTGAATACATATCTTTTTTTTATACTGGCCCCCCGTGGGAATCGAACCCACAACCCTGGCGTTGCAAACGCCATGCTCTATCAACTGAGCTACATCCCTGCCGGCCATTCCCTCCCCTACCCTGGACGACGCTGGGCCAATTGTGCGCCGCCCATGAGTCTCCCGGTCGCGGCCGGCTGCGACAGAGCCTGGATTCGAACCAGGATCTCTAGTGGCACAGTTAGCACTGCGATGCAGTGCCTTAGACCACTGCGCCACTCAGGAGACTCAGCATGGGGTGGATGTTGCCTCCAGCCTCTAGCCACAGTCTTCCTTGCCCAGTCTGCTGGGTACTGTAGCCTGGATGATGATGCTGGTGCTGTGCTGTTCACACTGCAGGGACAGGGCCTCCCCCGGAGAGGCTGCAGGCTCTGCTGATGTGAGTGGAAAATGAGTGGCTGGGATTTGAGGCACAGCTTGTGCACATTTGGATGTTTCTGAAAAATGCTGTGGCCTGACACAGCATTTCTGATGCTGAGAGTTGTTTGTGATTATATTTTCCCTGACTGCTTACCCCAGTGGCAGTGTATTAGCAACAGCCAGACACACAACCAAGGCACTGTTGGCAAGCATTGGCATGATGCTGCTAAGGTCAATGCAGTTTATTAACACCACTATTCAGCCAGTTTCATACTCTTTATGAGATAAAACTGTTTGCTGGTATCAGATGTACTATTTTTATTAGCTACTTATAAATCATGAAGAAAAACACTTCATATTTTTATGATTTGGTTTGGCTAGCTTGTTAGTAAAATGTTTTCCCCCCACACTGACTGGACTACATTCCAATGGCATTATCTTGCACTGCATGCAGCTAGCCTCCTTGACTGTTCCTGAGAACAATCATTTACGAATAAAGAAACCAAAAAAGCATTCCTTCCCTTATAGTCATGGAAACATGGAGCTCATACCACAAGACCATATTAATGGGACTGACTGATTGTGAAACCGATAGCCTGTAATGGTCTCCTCCTCAAGTCTTGTCAGTTACTCTGTGTCAGGGACTGGGCTTGTCATGGGGCCAGGACGATACCAGTATCGCGATACTCATTAGTACTGTGGCAAGGAAACAAAACACATAGCGGATTTATCTTCTTTAGGAAAACAGCCCTAATGTTGGAAACAAACAAAAATCATTATGTTGTCATCCAGAGTCACATGTATTTATTTTTCAAGCTATAGCACACAATATTTTACATACAGCAGGTTTTTAAATGACCAAAAAGTTTGGTCTGCTTCGTGTTTAAATTTTTGTCATGGAAAAATGTCACAGCCCTATCTGTGCTTATGTTGGGATCAGTGGAAGGGTCGTGCTCCATGAAGGCATGGCAATTCTAGCCCGCTAGCTAGCTGGTGGGGTGGACTGCATACTTTGTCCCTGTGTTATCCAGGCCAATCTGGTGATTAGGTTGGGTCTGCTGTGTAGAAGCCATTACTTACCCTGATGTACTGTAGCCTACATACTGTGTCTGGGGACCAATGTTCTGTACGTCAGCAGACAAGACCCCACCGGCTATTTACAACTGACCACTGCTGTGTTCCCTCAGTCGCCACCTTTACCCATATCTACATTCTGGTCAGTTGTTCCACAGACTCAGCTAGTGAGACTTTTGTTATCGTACCTAAACAGGTCTTTCAGATGCCACAATCAAGGCATCAAGACGTGTCTAGGGCTAGGGATTGATTTGAGATTGGGCAATATATCTCTTGCGCTGATGAAGGCAGAAAAACTGTAGTGTAGCGCAAATAAGCTTTGACATAACTTAAATGCATTAGTTGTGCTCATAAATCAGTTAGTAATAGTGACTCCGACATAAATTTGCGTTCTGTTCGACCCACCCACGCAAAAACAATTACACAAAACAAATGCGTAAATATGTGTATGTGACCAATAAAATGCGATTTATGAAGAGGACAAGCTGAGGTTTTCGAGAGAGAGCAACTGCCATTTCAGTTTAGATTTTCAGTGACTTGAGGAGGAGCTCTAAAGAATACAGCATCCTGCGCCTCAGACCTCCTTGACCAGGGGATTATCACCGAAACCAAATATATATACAGTGAGGGAAAAAAGTATTTGATCCCCTGCTGATTTTGTACGTTTGCCCACTGACAAAGACATGATCAGTCTATAATTGTAATGGTAGGTTTATTTGAACAGTGAGAGACAGAATAACAACAAAAAAATCCAGAAAAACGAATGTCAAAAATGTAATAAATTGATTTGCATTTTAATTAGGGAAATAAGTATTTGACCCCTCTGCAAAACATGACTTAGTACTTGGTGGCAAAACCTTTGTTGGCAATCACAGAGGTCAGACGTTTCTTGTAGTAGGCCACCAGGTTTGCACACATCTCAGGAGGGATTTTGTCCCACTCCTCTTTGCAGATCTTCTCCAAGTCATTAAGGTTTCGAGGCTGATGTTTGGCAACTCGAACCTTCAGCTCCCTCCACAGATTTTCTATGGGATTAAGGTCTGGAGACTGGCGAGGCCACTCCAGGACCTTAATGTGCTTCTTCTTGAGCCACTCCTTTGTTGCCTTGGCCGTGTGTTTTGGGTCATTGTCATGCTGGAATACCCATCCACGACCCATGTTCAATGCCCTGGCTGAGGGAAGGAGGTTCTCACCCAAGATTTGACAGTACATGGCCCCGTCCATCGTCCCTTTGATGCAGTGAAGTTGTCCTGTCTCTTAGCAGAAAAACACCCCCAAAGCATAATGTTTCCACCTCCAT